CCTTCATATATATATGATACAATTAGCGTGTAGTATTAAAATCATATACAATTGTTACAATATTTAAATAGTACTTATTACATATATATATCATACCGATAAGGCTTAGATATACATATACAGATATATATATATGTATACATATATTTATATATATGTATAATTAATATTTATAAGGTTGCTTAATCTGCTTGTATCTTAATGCTTTAAATGTTCCGGTGAGAAGGGGCCTTCCGGTCGTTTTGCGAGTCGATTCTCAAAGATAGAGAGGAAAGCGGCAAAAAAAAAAGGATTTGGGAGGGAAAGAAGAGAAGAGGGAGAAGGAAGCAGTGGAAAAAGAAAGATCAGAAATACAAATGTTCGAAAAATGGAGTGATTTTACAGAAATTTTATCACGGCGATGTTGCAATATCGTCATATATACAACGAATTCGGTATTTCATTGAAAAAAAATATCGTATGCTTTTTACATCATCAAAATTAGCTCTATAAAAACTGAATTGTAAAAAATTCAGATTTCTTTTTCGAGATTTAAAGAACAATAAATTCAAATAGATTTAAAAATTTGTTTCATTATTAAATCTTTAAATAATTAGCTCTTCATATTTTTTTAAATTAAAACTTAATGAGATACATAAAACGTAGAAAATTCTTCGTCTTTTTTATCGATTCTTCGTTCCGGTAAAAATGAAATTGAATTTGTTGTATACATCGATATTATATAGATATAAAATTTCTATTTTTTTTCGGTCAGATATGTGTTCAATATCGAAGATACACCGTTACGGAATGCGACGCTTTAAAACGCTTTTTTTGTTGCCAACATTTTCGCATATTGCATATAAAAAGAGCAGCAAAATTTATGCGGAAAATTTGAAATAAATTAGTCATCCGCTTCTCCCTTTGCTTCTCTTTCTCAGAATTACATTGAGTTTACAGATCACGATGTTCGAGACTGATGTCAAAAGTAATAACTACTAATATCAACGTTCGTTAATTCATAGGTTCATTTAAACAGGAGGAAAAAAAAAACATTTGTGGAACTCGTATGAGGCTGATCGTATTTCGAAACTACCCAGTCTGGATCAACGTGATTCGTAAATATCGCCTTGGGAAAAAGTATACAACTGACGAAAGATAATAAAGCGGACAGAGATCGAATGAAGATCGTGTGATTTCACCGGTCACCGTTCCTTTTCTTTTTCCACATTCTATTTCTTTACACGCAATAAACGCATCTACTCGCGAGAGCAGCGTTTCATCAGCGATTTTCGCATTTCTTTTTTTTTTCGCGCTATATAAAAAATTTACACTATTTATAATTAAAAATCGATAAGAAGAGTTCTTTACTTTTTCTTTTCTCGTCTGGTACAAGAGGGAGGCTTAAGTAGATATATAACGATAGACTGCTAGATTTACGTGACTTCTATACCTAAACGTTCATACCAAATTCTCGAGATTTTTATCATGGGGAGGATAGAGGGATGGGAGAAAGATAGGAGAAACGTGGCAATCGGAAAGATTAATGAGAGAAGTGTATCTGGAACATGTTATACCATATTTATAAATGTGTTACGTGTGCCGAGCTTATACATGCGTGTATGCATATGTGTACGCATATGCTATGTATATATGTATATGTATATATGTATATATGCGTGTGCACATATGTATACATATGTATATACGTGCGGATTCAATACATACATATGCATATACATATATCTACATACGTCATAGCACGATTAGTAATAGCGGAAATGAATAATCAAATAGGGGAGAAAGGGGAACCATTAATCAAACAATATCCGATAGCATAATAATAGTAGTAATAATAATAATAATACAATATCGTAATAATATAATAGTAATAAAAATATGATAGGTAAATCGATAATCTTACGTTAGCTGATAAGACATGAGAAATTTTTGCCTTCGAATTTCGCTTAATTTTTCGCAACGTTTTTTGTTTTTCTTGCTTAATTTAAACCTCGCTTCCTTTTACGCGCGATTTCGTCAGGTGATCGATGGATCTATTACAGATGAGAGGCGCGGTGTTTCTTCCCTTTACGATTTTTAATTTACACAGATGACGCGCGGGCGCGATTATCATTACGGATGAAGGAACTATCTTTTTTTTTTCCTTGTCAATTTCCTTAAACATTACGAGCGTGTTTTCACACGTCTTTCGTATTTGCACAATTGGTTTCTTTAGTTTTCTTTTTTTTTCTTTTTTTTTCAGTTTGTACAGATCCTGTGTCGACTGAAGATGAGGTGGCGGTTGGAATGTCTGTCTATATTCATGAGAGATCTATCAACCGTATTTTTCGCCTCTTTACAGCGCATCAGTTGCGTGCGCGCGTGTGTATGTGTGTGTGTGTGTGTGTGTGTGTGTGTGTCTCTCTGTGTGTATGCGCATGTAAATATGTCTGGTACAACGAGCGACGTGTATCCTCAGCGATTTTCGGAAGGGTCGTTGCTGCAAGGAAGGAGAGCGAGAATTCGCATGTAACATGTTGCACGCGGCATTGAATAACAGAATACTTTTGTCGTGTGCTCATTTGTCACTCACCCCTTAACGGCATTTTAACAAGGATAATTTTTCTGCTTTTGAAGAGAAAGAGATAGAAAGAGAAAGATAGCGGGAGACAGAGAAAAAGAGAGAGGGAGAGACGAGATACTTAAGAATTTGTCAATTTCGTTAATAAATCGTTATGTACAATATCTTACAAAGAAAGCTGCTACGTTTTTCCCTCTTCTTTACTTTTTCTTTTTACAGTGTCGTTCGACGGGCGTTTAATGTAGTTTGCTGGCGAGTTTTGTATAAGTTTTTCATTTTTTTTTCTTCCTCCGATTTCTACATATTTAATATTTACGCCGAACGAAATATATCACACATTGTACATGAGAGAGCGGCCGATGAGTGAAAAAAAAGAAGACTAAAGTTATGTATAAAAAATTTGTCCGGAAAGGAAAAGAATCGTGGAATTTCGTTTATATGGAACATGCGAGCGATCCTAGTGAAAATGGCTGAGTGTACGCTCTTTGTCCTCCAACGGTCTATAATACAATTGAAATGTTCAAAGAGTGTGGGGTGTGTCAAATGTATATATGTATATCCGAGGAAATAATGGGGAGAAAATGGCGCGAACGGATTATAGATACACATGCGTTGTGCACGATCTCCTGATATTTTTTTTTTCTCGAGAACGCGTTTATATCATTTATACAATGTACAATGGTCTTCGGCTTTACGTTCCAAGAATAATAGCTGCAAATTATTTAAGGGGGAAACAGGAAGGGACATCTCTATATATATGTATGTATATATATATATATATATATATATATATATATATTATAT